TTTTTTTTTTTTTTTTTTGAACCACCAGTACCTTTGTCGGTTCGAAAATACTCGGCCTCCGACCTTTCAGGAGGCCGAAACGAAACGACGGCCGCGGATCAGATTGATCAACGTTGGGCTCGGCCTCCTGAAAGTTTGGGTACTGGCCAGGACTTGTCGAAGGTACTGGTGGCTTAACAAAACAGAACCTTATGGTCCTGGCTCCTTTTCCATTCTGGCGAGGAGCATCAGTCCGGTTCCTATTCCCCCGGCAATTCCAAGATAGTACATAGGTTACTCTCTCACGCTCCCCTCCCCTTTATGGTTTGGAGGCCCAGAAGACGCCATTCATTACTTCCTTGACTAAGGATGTAGTACGATGTACCGATCTTCACCCCTGCCTAAGTTAGCCTGTTCTAGTACCTGCTGCTTGACTTCACTGGAAATATCAGGTCTCTTTTCTGACTGTTCCTCTCTATCAACTGGACCTGTGACGTGTCTGGGTTTTTCTGTGACAGTGGGTGTGTCGGACTCCTTTACTCTACTTCTAGACTCCTTGGGAGCAGGTTAACTTGAGGGTGTCGCTTGAAGCCAAAACCCTAAACCCGAGCTTGGTTGCACTCTGCTGATAGAACTTTTCCTGATGGCTGTTTCCTGACGGTGGCTACTGTTGATGCGGGGTCTGCTTGAATTCGGCGGCCTATTCTCTGTTTGGGGTTGGAGTAGTAGGAGGTGGGTTGGTAGGGTTGGGAGTTTAGGATGATGGGTGGTGGTTGCGGGGTAGCTGCGGTGTGTGGGAGTGGGAAGGGGAAGGGGGATGTGTGAGTTAGCATGTGTTTGCTCGGATGTTTGGGGGATTGGAGGGGTGGGGGAGTGGAAGGAAATGTGTAGAGGAGGAGGTGGCGATGAGGTTGCTGAGAATCTAAGAATCTTCACTCAGTTAATTACGTTTTTTTTTTTTTTTTTTTTGAAGAGGCTGATTATCCGGCAGATTTAGACGCACTCAATACCAACCCCATGACCCCGGTAGGTACCCATCTCTTCCCCCTCTTACCCTATTGTGTGATCCTCTCTCTCTCTCTCTCTCTCTCTCTCTCTCTCTCTCTCTCTCTCTCTCTCTCTCTCTCTCTCTCTCTCTC